TTTTTTTTTTTTTTTTTTTGTACTGGAGATCGAGCTCAGGACCTTGCGTTTGCGAGGCAGAGGCACTGTGCTAAATCCCCAGCTTCTGCCCTTATGACGTGAAAACATTTGCAGGCAGGTACACAAACAGTGAGCCCAGCTTAGTTCCAGTAAGGCTGGGTCTAGAGAAGGACACCAAGATTTGCATTCCACATGATTCTCAGGTGTCGTGAAATACTGGTATTTGATTTTTTCAATCATTAAATAAATGTAAAAATCACTTGAGCTGAAAGTTGTGCAGAAACAGGAGAGAGCTCATGGTTGCTGATCACTGTCTGCCCAGTACTGGTGAATACTTTAGAGCTTTCAGGGACACAGATGGCCTGCTGTGGCACGTGTGCCGTAGGTTCGCCATCCCTGCTCTAGACATAGAGGAGAAGCAGGTGAGGAAATCAATCTCTTTTCCTTTTCCTCCTTCCCTTCCTGGTCTTCTTTTTCCTTTGTGTGTGTGTGTGGGGGGGGTGTTCTGGGGCTTCAATCTAGGGTCTCAGTCATGCTAGGCAAGGGCCGTACCACTGAGCTACATCCCTGTTTTTTTCTTTTTGTGCAACTGGGGATCGAACCCAGGGCACTGGCCTATAACCCTGACCCTTTTTTGAGACAGGGTCTTCCTAAATTTCCCAGACTGGGCTCAAATTTGCAATTCTTGTGTCTTAGCCTCCTGAGTAGGCAGCTAGGATGACAGGTATGTGCCACCATGCCTGGATTTCCTTTCTTCTTTTTTAAGACATTGCCTAAGCTGACCTTGAACTCCTCAGCTCAAGTAATCCTCCTGCCTCAGCCTCCCAGGTAGCTGGGACTACAGATGCATGCAGTGCCAGGCTAAATCTTATTAACTATTCAGGTGTGACTTTAAGCAAACAAAAGTTCTGAGGCCTTTCTAAGTTCAAGTCTCCTCAGCTGCATAATGGAGACATTTCTCTAAGTCCTTTAAGGGATTTCGTAAGAATTACTAGCATATCAGAGCTTAGTAAACCCTAGAACTCAGGACATTGGCCTTTCTTTTGCAGTCAGGCTTTAGCTGGACATAAGCATTTGATTTGCAAGGACAGAAGCCTTTCCTCAACTCAGTGAGAGCTACTTCTGTGTCACCAAGGGAATTCTTCCCATGTGAAATAATGGAAAACTGAAAGGCTAAGAGGACACACGACCTCAGGAGGTTTTTGGCCTTGGGAGACAATGGCCCCACTGGATTGAAAGCCAGTTCTGAGTCAGAAAGCTTGTGCTGTCCCAGGAGGAAAGACTGGGGTTCAAAACATACTACTGAGGAGAAGGGCTGGGCACAGGATCAGTTTTCTTTAGAGACTGGGCTCGAGGACTAGGGCAGGCTGTGCTACACATGCTCTGACTTGGTAGAGGATGAGAACAACCCCTGTACACACCACTGTCCACGGAAAGTCCTCACTCTGGCCCAGAGGTGGCTGCCATCATAACTCAAGCTGGAAGAACCCAGTTCATCTTCACAGCCACCTCAGCTCTTTGCTGCCAGCTGGGACAGTCACTATCTGTTGCTGTTGT